TTTGTAGACTTGCCACAGTTTGTGTGGCTTCTTTGAGCGACTGTCGGAGTTGAGGCACTAGCAATAGCTCATTCGCCGTGGACGGATACGATTCCAGACCGCGACTTGTATTGTTTTTGCCGCTTTTGTCTCCATTGGGCCGACTCATACTACCAGCATTCTTGTTTTCGTTATGCGAGAGACTGGAGATCCTCGCTTTAGGGCGAGCTATGGATTGTACCAGGGTGTTGCGTAGCTGTTCAAGCTCAGTGCGCGACGTTCGCAGCGCTTCCAGTAGCTGAGAGTTAAGGGTCTCAAGCGAATCATTAGACGCACGCATGTCGCCAAGAAGCGCTTGTAGATGACTTCCTCTCGCGTTGTGTTCGTCGGTTAACTGGCGCTCTCGTTCAGCTAATATTGCAGCAGCCTGTCGAGCTTCTTCGAGACGAAGACACTTTTCCAATCGCGCTACCCGCTCTACCTCCTTGGTCGAGGCGGTGCGCACTCGACGTAACGTCGCCTCTCCTATCTGCTCGTGCTGGTGGACAGCACGTTGCCCATCGCGCTCAACCTTGGCCAGAGTCTGCGCCAAACTATCTGCTACGTGTGCAGCATGTTTACTGACATTGGTGGCGACATCGTTGAGCTGGTTCGTGAGTACATCTTGAAGTCGGTCGTGGAAAGCAGTGATTTGTTTGCGCCACGCAAAATCTCCACGAATGAATTGAGAGCGGTCGTCAAAGTCACTCTGCAATGACTGTAAGCTCGCGTGCAAACTCTTACTCTCTTGTTGTAACATTAGCTCGAGCTCCGCCTTCCATGATGCGAACGCGAAAGTGGGGGCAGCCGATGAATTATCCGTGGAAGGTTTTGCGGCATCTGGGGAGACATCTGTGTCATTATCCATGCATGGTTCAGCTTGGAAAGTCTCGGTGGCTTCGCTTACTCCGTGGCCGGCTGTCATTTGCAGACGTGTGTTTTTGGTTTTTGGAATTGGGTTTTAGAATAATGGAACTTTTGGGTTTGGAGCTTTTGGGTTACCCACCCACCCAAAGCACAAACATTTGGGGTTTTCACTGTTTATTTTAGTGAAGAATGGACGGTTAGCTTCGAGTGGAAAACATATTATAGCGTCAACAACGACATGCTCTATTATTGTTGCTGAGATCTGTTAAGAATAATCAAGCACTGTGCTGATCTGCAAGAAACTTAATTTACGGTAAAAACTTAAAACTTGTTTTTAATTTTAGAGGTACGAGCTAATTGTAGCAACCAATCAGAAGAAGGTAAACTAGGTTTTTACCTAAAATGGAAAACACACTCAATATTATCCACCCATGAAAAAAGAATAACCCATTCATGCAGCCAAAAAAGAGCTGGATTTTTGCCAACGCTGTTTGCATTTACAGTGGTCAACAGCGCTTTTTTTACCCTGGCACTAAAATAAACCAATCCAAAGCTACACTTGTATTTGTATACGTTTCAGTGCGATCTGTCGAATAGTTGTTTCAAAATATAGCTATGCCTGTTCTTTATTTTATTCAAGTCTAAATCACAAAGCCTTTATATTCGAATATAAATATGTCATAAAATATTAGATATCTTAAACCTAATAACCTATTTAGTTAAAATAGAAACATATCATTGGCTAAAACAGGGAAAAGTCTAGGAGGCAAGCTACAAAATCAATTTGTACGCTCATTACTTAAGTTATTTCCCAGCCGTTTCTAGCATACACGGATATGCATAAGTTTTGCCCAGCCTGAAAACCGCATAAAAAAAGGTCACTTATTGCTCCAGCTACACAAAATAGCGTCCTCGATGGCTGTCGACCACTGTTAATGCCAGTCCGGTACTGCGGCATTCTATTTTAATAATCTATTAAAAAAAAGATTTTTACATCGACTACTTTAACCCTTTATTCCCCGAAAAAGCTCTGGATTTTATCCAGAGTCATCCGGCGATACCAAATGGACGTGATAGTACAGCGATTTCGTATACCCTTTCGCTCTAAAGCTGTGCGTTGCCCGGGAGATTCTGGATATTATCGAAAGTATTGTACTGCCTCATTGTTGAAGCCATCCTCAAGTCTTACTTAATAAACGTTCATTTCAATAAGATACGCCACTTTTTGGCTATGTGGTGTTGTGATTTCTCAGTAGTTGCGGATTATCACCCGTCGACAAAGACGTGACACCGCCCAAGATGTTCAAGCAACGAACCCTCGGTCATGTGATGTACGAGACGCCGAGGTGCAAGGGACTCGACGGCGTCACCTCCGAACGTTCAACAAGTATCGGATACGGGCATATGTCACTGAATCCAGGCTGTCCTTATTATTAATAATGGACTGGCCGGATTCGCATTCAGCGGACCATCTACGGTACGAACCCTCAGTGGCGGTTGAGATGAGTTCGCGAAAGACTCATCGACCCTTTGAAGGCACGTTCACCGTCTGGGACAGGTCGCGAGCCGTTAAAAATGCTCATGCGACGGTGCAGACGACGCTTGACGTGCAAGAATATTCATAACGGATCATTGTTCACTTGATATTTGTATACTTGTTCAGGACTTCTTATTAGGAATAGACCCGAAAGGGTAAACATATTTACAGAACAGATTTTCCACTCAAGCACACAGAGCGACGTCCGGTTGCAAGGTACGCGTCTGGTCAAGCTTGTTTGAGTGTGTTATGCCTGTCGGTGAACTCGAAGCTCTGTAGCGAGGGTTCATCCGGCAAGACCAAGAGACTGTGTGTCTTTAGCCGATTACTATCGGGAGGTTTTACGTGACGGCTTATTGTTGCCTATTTGCACGTCTGGGAGTGCTCGTATTGCATCTCTTTTATTCTTCCAACCGAGTGTTGAACACTCGGTGACCTCGTAAAAGGCTTACCCGTGCCTGGTACCCGTCCGCTGTTGGGACCACGAGGATTCATAACACCTGCTAGCTTTGCTCGTGCTAGTAGCGTGTTCTTAGTTTTACTGGTTGGCCTATATAAGTAGTTTACAGGGTCCAGTATGTCCCGGTGCAAGGGCAGAACTGGGGTCTTCAGGTCCGCCCGAGCGATCGTTTACTATACTAGTAGACGTATTGTTGTGGGAACGTCCTAACTACGTTTGTAGCTAGAGCTCACGTGGGAATTTCAACACCACAACTTGTGCCGCGACCCGGGAACAGATTGTGACCATTGTGAACTGTTTGTATGGCCTTCCAGTTTACAAGCTACCAAGAGAAGAAGAACAAGAAAAAGACAAGAAACATGGCGAAAGGACAACCGTCGGTACCAGTTACGCCTGCCAAGTCTGGCGGGGCTCGCAACGAGAGTTCAAGCCCGGCTGCGCGCTTTGCAGCCACCACCGAGCTTTCAGTGAGCTTCGACGACGAAGCGGACATCGGTCCTGACGCCCACGATTATGAAGATTACGAAGACAAGACGCCGGCTCCAGAGCCAGGCGCAGCGACGCCGGAGACGGCCACGCTATCATCAGGGCTGTGCGTGCAGACCAGGTCTCTTTCGAGGAACCTCGCCGACGATCTCGATGATGTTGCGGGACCAGAACCGGCCTACGATGATTATGACGATGGGACCGAGGGTTCTAAACCTTCGGTGGCGAGTGCAAAGCATTCAGCACTGCTGAAGGCACCTCGCCCACCTATCAACGGTGATACACCAGCCGCCAAGCGCGTCTTCGACCGCGTACGAGCGCTGATGCAGAATGATGAGTGGATGCAGCTATTCAAGCCTATCCCCAAGAAAAAAGCCGACTGGCCTGCGCTTGCGCAGGAACTTCAATACCCAGTCAACTCGGTTTCGACTAGCCAAGTTGCCGAGGATTCAGTTTCGCTACTGTTGTCGCTGGGGTTCGAGAACGAGACGTACCCATCGACGATGTCGCTCCAAGATTGGAGTCCACATGAAGCCGGAGCTGCTCTCCAGAAATGGAAGAAGAAACTTCGGAAGGCGTTTGGCGCTGCTGGCATCAACGCCGGAAAGCAGCCTGTGAGTCGACCGATGATTCAAGATGAAGATCCGTCCACGATTCCACTGCCGCCGACACCCCAACGACTCGTTCGTACTCCTCCGACCAAGCGTGGAGCTGAGCGTGGTGCCTTTGGCACTACCGAAGCTTCACCGTACTTTCAAGACTCGCACATGGTTACGCCACGTTCGGAGAGCCGTATGCAACGTATTTACGCTAGTAACGAGGGTTCGTTCGGTCGCCGAGGCGGTGCGCGAGCTCCCAAAGGTGGGGCCGGACGTCGTCAAGTCAACAGCGATGGTTCGTCCAGTGACGATGACATTTTGGTGCGTACATTCGACGAGGAAGATCCTCAAGTCGAGTTGATGCGTCAGATGAATGAGCTGGCGACGCTGAACGACGTGAACCCTACACCGAGGATTGAAATGGCATCGCACCGACCGTTGGATCGCATCACGCCGTCCTCAGGCTCTCGCAACAAGAGCGAGAACTGTATGCAGTGGCTCCGTGGGTTCGTCTATGAAATGACTGGAACCCACACAGATGCCGACAAATGGTGCATTCCATTTGAGCTTAGTCTCCGGGACGGAGCCATTCATTGGTTCCGTCAACTTCCGAAGAAGACGAAGCGCAAGTGGAAGCTGTTGAGCGACGCGTTCATCCGTTATTACTGCTCGCAGCTCACGCAGACGGCACTGTCACGTTACTACTCGGCAAAGCGGGAGCGTAATGAACATCTGTGCGACTACATAAACAGGCTGAACGGCTACGCTCGGACCGCCCGTCTACACTTTGAGAAGAGTGGTCGCGAAGCGAAAGAACACGTACAGCAGTTCCTGGCAACATGCGATGATGACAAGCTGGCGGAGAGTCCCTACCACGCTCGAGTCGCCGACATTCACGAGCTCGAAGAGATCATCGAAGATGTTCTCAAGGGCAAGGAGAGAATGGCCAAGCGTGACAGTGAGTACCGATTCTCTAAGAGCCGTGATACGCGACGCGACGATGGATACGCCCGCAACAATCGGCGTGATGACCGTCGCCGCGATGACAACCGCAACAAACCAAGAGTGACACTCATTGAAGCCACGGTGGACGACCTACTAGCTGAATTAAAGGGTCGTGAAGCTGCTCAGGGAGGCACCGAGTATTCAAACGAAGATCCGAACGCTTACGACGATGTCCAAGATGAGTACAACGACTTTTAGCCCGATAATACGGATGGTGATTTCTCATTGGATGAAAACGACCGATACCTCGCCGCTGCTAGCGAAAATGAGCGCCGTGCAGCTGCTGAGGGCACCTACGCACGTTCAGACAACCGTCAACCGCGTGGAAACACGCCTGATCGCGAGAATGGCTTCAATCAAGATCGCCGAGGTGGTGACTGTGGGTTCAATCAGGACCAACGCGGTCGACGTGACTTCAACCGCGACAACCGACGCCCACAGTACGGACCATGCGCGGTGTGCGGTGGCATGAGTCACTCCGCCCACTACTGTAACAAGCGATGCAGGTTCTGCAAACAACTCCACGATGCTGGACAATGCGAACTTTTCCGCAACTTCCAAGACCTTGCCAAATTCGTGCGTACTAAGGGCACGAAGGAGGAACTTCCGCCAGAGCTCAAAGCCGTCGTTCAAGAACGTAATTTAAACTAGGCAGCCCGCCAACTACAACTGGGTTGATCCCTATCGGGCTGCCACAGTTAACCGAGCCTTCAATGGAAGCAGAGTGTATCTTTGCTTTCATGGGGCAGAGTGAATGGCCTGATAAATACGTAACAAGTGTGAACGCGACGGAAAATGAAAAGGAG